GACACTAAGCCAAACCGGTTTAGGCAAGGATTAACATTTCTTAAACCACAGCTGTAACTGTCCTTAAAGATTGTTTACTAAAGATAAAAGCTATTTTTCCTCTCTTTTCTTTTGTATATTGTTCTGCTTTTCAGTACCTCCCTGTTTAATATTATCTGTGAATTTAATTAACAGACTGTTTACTTCCCTTTGTTAACTGACATTACATAACACCACATCTAATACCAATTCCTACAGAATCCCTGTAAGGCTTTTCTCCACATAGATATTTCATAGTTGTTTTTTTGTTTGTTTGTTTTGTTTTTTTGTTAATTGTTCTTTAGTTTTTGATTCATGAAACTTCAAGAAGCATATCTATGTTGGGAAATTCAGAGGCGAAAAAAGGAAAACACAGAAATTGAGGGGAAAATTAGCAGGAAAAAAGAGAACATGAGACTATAAATGAAACAAGGTGAGCAGAAAAAAGAAAAAAGGCAATAGACTAAAATAAAGAAGGTAGAAACATTTAACTCTTTTGGAAAAAATAAAAAGTTCCTGAAGATAGACAACTGATTTGAGATTAAGGAAGTATACATAAAATTTTAGATTAAGAAAGAGTAAAGATCTGTAAAAAGGAGTAATTTGAAAATACCTCATCAAAATATGTGATAATCCTTTTAGATGAAAAGGGCAACACAACTGTAAGACTGAACATAAGATTAATATTTGATTGATTTACAAATAAACTTTTAGTAGTTTTTTCCTACTAGTTGAGCTATTGATGTCCAAAGATGTGAGCTGGTCTATTCCAGAACTGGTTAAAAGGATGGCGAGCTGTTCAAAGGAAGCCAAGCACTGGGTTAGGCAGTATTTATATAGTATTTTAGTATTATATTAAGTATTAGAGGCCCGGTGCATGAAATTCGTGCATGAGGGTGTGTGGGGGGGTGTCCCTTAGCCCAGCCCACATCCTCTCCAATCTGGGATCCCTTTCACAATCCAGGACTGCTGGCTTCCAACTACTTGCTTGCCTGCTTTCCTGATTGCCCCTAACCACTTCTGCCTGCCAGCCATATCATCCCCTACCACTGCCCTGCCAGCCTCATTGATGCCTAACTGTTCCCCTGCCAGCCTGTTTGTCCCTAACTTCCCTCTCTTGCAGGTCTGGTCCCTCCCAACTGCCTTCCCCTGCTGGCCATCTTATCTCCACATGGGGACAGCTATTTTGATCTTGTGTGTTGGAGTGATGGTCAATCTGCATATTACTCTTTTATTAGATAGGATAGAGGCCTGGTGAATGGGTGGGGGCCAGCTGGTTTGCCCTGAAGGGTGTCCTGGATCAGAGTCGGGGTTCCCTTGGGGTATAGGGCAGCCTGAGTGAGGGGCCTGTGGTGGTTTGCAGGCCAGCCATATCCTCCGGTGATCCAAGTGGAGGCCCTGTTATCTGGGATATATTTATCTTCTATAATTGAAACTTTGTAGCCTGGAGTGGAGGCCTAGGCCAGCCAGGGCAGGTGGGAAGCTTGGCTTCCTCTGTTGCTAAGGGAAACCCTAGCCTGCTCTCTCCAGCTCCGTGGCTATTGCCATTTTTCTTGCAATTTATCTTCTATGATTGTAACTTTGTAGCCTTGAGTGAAGGCCTGCCAGGGTGTGTGGAAAGCTTGGCTTCCTCCATTGCCGGGGAAACCCAAGCTTCCCTCCTACACTCTGTGGTGGCAGCCATCTTGGTTGGGGTTGATTTGCATACTCACTGATTGGCTGGTGGGCGTGGCTTTGTGGGTATAGCAGAGTGATGGTTAATTTGCATATTACTCTTTTATTAGGTAGGATTGTGGACACATATGCAAGAAAACAATATAACTCAGCATCTAATTGGTGTTGGACTGCATTAAATATTGGCATTTAATTGCCAAAGTATTTTCATAAAAAGGGAAGGAGGTAATTCTGCAAAGTAGAGTAGTGAGTCTGATATCAAACCTGCTTGAGCAATTAGAGAAGAGAGGTCAGTGATACCCAAGAGCTGGTGATAACCTGCCAGTCCAACCTCCTACATTCAAAAGGCTAGTGGGAGTGTTGGAGCATTGGGATGCTAACACACAGTAGATTTGAAACACAAGCTACATGTAAATTCATTGGCAGTGGATGAATAGGTACTTTGATGGTCTAACTCTGAGGACCTAAGTTTAAAAGAAATACCCAAGAAAAAGTGTTTTCAGATAGGCAGCTGTAAAACTTCATTATTCTCTTTAGTATGGAATTACTATATTATGCATATTCTCATTTTATAATGCCCTTTCCAAAATAGCACAATTTAGTAACCCAATACCAACATCACTATTCCACCTACCTAGTAAATGACACTGACTGAGTTGGCTTTGTAACTCATTTTTCTTTCTTTCAGAACCATTTTTAGGTATCACAGACCTCCTTTCTGATTAGCATACTCTGGCATATTGGTTTTTAAATGTGTAACCTTGAAGGCTCATTAAATGTGTAACCTTGTAGCAATTGCTACAATTGCTGATTCAGAAGATCTGGGATGGCTCACCCAAATTTGCATTTCTAACAAGGTCCTAAGATAATGCTGATCTGAGACCACTCTTTTTTTTAAAATATATTTTATCGATTTTTTTTTATAGAGAGGAAGAGAGAGGGATAGAGAGTTAGAAACATCAATCAGCTGCCTCCTGCACACCCCCCACTGGGGATGTACCCGTAACCAAGGAACATGCCCTTGACCAGAATCGAACCTGTAACCCTTCAGTCTGCAGGCCAGAGCTCTATCCACTGAGCCAAACCAGTTTTCGGCTTGAGACCACCCTTGAGACTAGGCCATCTCCATCCTCCCAAGGAGTATATGGCAAAAGAGGTAAGCACAATGAGGGGTCCTCATGATTGCTGTTAAATCAAGTTTGTCACTGGTTTTGTAAATAGGCTTATTCAGACTTTAAAGTAAATGTCTTGCAGCACCTTTTATATATATATATATATATATATATATATATATATATATATATATATTTGATTTTTTACAGAGAGGAAGAGAGAGGGATAGAGAGTTAGAAACATCAATGAGAGAGACTCATCGATCAGCTGCCTCCTGCACCCCCTCCACTAGGGATGTGCCCGCAACCAAGGTACATGCCCTTGACCGGAATTGATCCCGGGACCTTTCAGTTCGCAGGCCGATGCTCTATTCACTGAGCCAAACCGGTTTCGGCTTGGAGCACCTTTTTAAAAAATATATATATATTATTGATTTTTTTACAGAGAGAAAGGGAGAGGGATAGAGTGCTAGAAACATCAACCAGCTGCCTCCTGCACATCCCCTACTGGGGATGTGCCTGCAACCAATGTACATGCCCTTGACCAGAATCGAACCTGGGACCTCTCTGTCCGCAGGCCGAGGCTCTATCCACTGAGCCAAACCAGTTTCGGCTCTTGCAGCACCTTGCTACCTCTTTCGTTCGTCTTTTGCTTTTTCCCTGGACCTTTATTACATCCTCTTTCCCACCGCCAATATGCTCTTATGTTGGTATGATCATCCTTAGCAGAGAAAATATTGATCTCAAATATCAATATTCAATGGTATTTAATATGGGATTCTTCCTGGGAGAATTTAAAAGATAAGAACAATATGAGTCAAAAAAAAAAAAAAAAAAAGCAAATTACCTGAACTGTAATTTCAAATAAAAGGGATGATTCCTCCACCTACTAGTACAATATATGAATGCTTATAATTGTCTACACACAGTATATTCCAGTATAAAACAAAACCCTTCTCTTTGGATATATTAAGGGTGAGATTTCAATTTATTGGTAATTTTTGAACCTACACATAATTGCACTTTAAGGACCCTCTTTGACATTGGTGGTGCTGAAGGTGCTCTGTGCATCATCACGCATGCATGGTGGAGCATGCTCCGCTGTCTTTTTTCACATGAGGACAAAAGAGCATTGATTGGGATCCTGTGTGGCACCCCTCCTCTTCACCCTCCATTGGGATCTACCAGGTTTTTAATGAATGGCACAGGTGTGCGCGCGCGGGCGCCAGAGCGAGGGGCGTGGGGGAGGGGGGCGCGGTGAAGAAAACGTGTGTAGTTGTAGAAATCGGACTTTCCCAACCATGATTCCTACCCAAATTCTTAGCCTTCCCAATTAAGGTGACCAGACATCCCGGTTTTTAACCATTTGTCCAGCGGCATTTTTTTTTTTTGAAGAAAAAACGCCGCTGGACAAATGGTTAAAAATCGGGACTGTCCCGCCAAAAGCAGTACGTCTGGTCACCTTATTCTCCATATGGCACCCCCCCCCCCCATCCCGTTGTGTTTTCTGGAGTTCCAGAGCCCAGTATTTTATCTGTGTGTAACAGTCCTATAACGATTTAGATGATGTAACAAAAAAAATGAAAATCTCATTAAAGAGTACTGCCTGCACCTTGGCAGCAATCTGCAAACCTCGCCTTAGCCGGACCTTGGCCACTGGTCTCTGCGCCGCCCGCCGGGCCGGGCCAGGAAGCTGGACCTGCCCGGCTCCGCGCACCTTCCTTCCCTTTCCCCCTGCTCTTCCTCCCGCCGCCCCTGCGCCCACCGGTCTCCCCGGCGCCCACGACGCCGGGCGGCTGCGGCGTAGGCACCCAGGCTTCTCCCGTCCTTCTTCCCAGCGGCCCCCCTCAGACAAAGCCCGGGGAGACGGACGGCCAGCGCGCGCCGCGGGCCGCCGCACGGACCCGGGGAAAGCGGCCTCGCCGCCACGCGCTCTCCCCGGAGCGGGACCGCGAGCGCGTCCCCGCGCTTCCTCCGCTCCCGACGCTTCCCGCCCCTCCCTCGGGCCCCGCCCCCCGCCCCCGCCCGCGCCTGCGCAGAGGCGCGCTCCCGCCGTCCCCGCCCTTCCTTCGCCCCGCCCCCTCCGCCGGCGCCCCGCCCTCCTTTCTCTCTCGGCGTCGGTTTCACTGGGAGCTCCGGGCTGGGAGCCGCTCAGTCCCTTTCCCCGCTACCCCGCCCCCCTTCCTCTCCTCTCCTCTCCCCACCCCTCCCGCCCGTCTCCTGCCCGGTGGTGGACGATGCGGCGGCGGCAGCGGCCGCAGCCCCGGCAGCGGCCCCGGCGGTGGCTGCGGTGGGGGTGGCCGGAACTCGGGTGGTGAGGCGGCGGCGGTAGCGGCGGTGGCGGCGGCGGCGGCGGCGGCCGGAGGGGCGGCAGCTGCCCCGCCGCTCTCCCGGCGCTTCCCTTCCTCCTGAGGGCACAGCCAGGAAGTTTCTCGCTCCCGTGCATGTGTGCGCGCGTGAGTGTGGGTGTCCGCGGGGAAGGCTCGGGCGGCGCTGGTGCCGGCGCCGGGGCTTTTTTGCCCACTTCGCTTCCCGTAACCCGGGAGCCGGGGCTGCTGCCCGGGGAGGGGGCGCGGCGGGCGGCGGGCTCCCTCCTTTTGTTGTTGTTGTTTCCTCCGCCCGGAGTACTGACTGGCTGGGGGTGGGGGGACGCGCCCGGGCGGGGCGGCTCGGAGCCCGGGCCTGGTGGCCCGCGGGGCTCCCGGGCGGGCCGGGCTTCAACATGATGGCCGCCGAGGCCGGCGGTGAGGAGGGCGGCCCGGTGGCCGCCGGGGCTGCGGGCGGCGGCGGCGCGGCCGCGGGCGCCGGTTCCTACCCGGCGGCGGCGTGTCGGGTGAAGATCCCCGCGGCCCTGCCGGTGGCGGCCGCCGCCCCCTATGCCGGGCTGTCGGCGGAGGGCAGAGTGGCCGCCGGGACGCTGGATGGCGGAGCGGCTCTGGGACCGGGACTCCTGGGAGCCGGGTCCGGGGCAGGGGCGCTGGCGGGAGCCGGACTGTCAGGGGGAGGCGCCGCCGCCGCCGCCGGACCCGGCGGGGAGATGGCTCTGCCTAAGGGGACCACCGCGTCGTTGTCCGGCGAGACCTTCGGGGCCGGCGGCGGCGGCGGCGGCGGCTTCCCTCCTCTGCCGCCGCCTCCCCACCTGCCCGCCCTGGGCGCGGGCCTGGGCACCGTGGACGAAGGGGACTCTCTGGATGGACCGGAATACGAGGAAGAAGAGGTGGCCATCCCGCTGACCGCTCCTCCGACCAACCAGTGAGTGAAGCCCGCTGCCTGGGGGTGGGGTGCGGGGATAGCGGGGGGCCTGGGAAGCCGGCTCCCGGGGAGAAGTTGGGGGAAGCGTGCTCGTGCTCTGTCAGCTGTGATTGATTTGTTGGGAAAAGTTTTGAAGCTTCAGGTTCCATGCGTAGAGGGGTTTGATTGGATCGCTTGTCTTCCCCTACCTACAGGCTTACTCTAACCTCCCTGGCGTCTTTGTGTGTGTGTGTGTGTGTGTGTCTGTGTGTGTGTGTGTGTGTGTTGCTCCTCTCTGGGAAGATGCAAAGTTGTTTTAAAGATGGGAAGCTTGGGAAAATGTGCGTCAGGTGAGAACCGGATATGGTTCTGCCCCTTCCAGAGTGAGCGGCGCTCGGCGGTTCCGCTGAGCTTGCAGCTACCGAGGCAGCTGTGGTTTATTCTGTTAGTATCGCTGACATATAGTTGTGTGTGTTCCTTGTGGAAGCTAGGTGATTGAACAGCGAGAAGCTTGGAATAGGAGTGTGTTTGAATGGGTGTTGCGCTAATACCGTTTGAAACATGTCTTGGTCGGAATGCGTTGTTTTTGTTGGAACTGCAAATCCAAACTTGAGTCCGCCGAAAGCATAGCGATGCAAAAAAAAAAAAAAAAAAGTCTGGATCCCTTAGGAAAACGTGGGTCAGCGAGAAAGGAAAGGAGATTGATGAATTACAGGTGTGCTTAAGGGCCCACACTCCAGCAGTATATGTAACTTGTGCCTTAGAGTTCTCATTTGTTAATATTAGTGCGATTTTTTTTTGTAGTTGAGACTTTTGTAAGTACAGCGTTGAAATAACATTAAGAGCGTGCTTCCCTTCAACACTTTTTGTTGGTGACCAATACAGTATTATATTTCTAAATTAATTTTGACAGTACTGCAGAATATATAGAACCACGACTTTTCTGTATAGTGTAACTCCCTCTTGTTCCCTTCATAAGTGAATTTAGGTATGAACTTATATAGAGAGGAAATGTTGATGGGAAGTGGTATAGTACCGTAGGCAAAACTTGTTTTATAAATCTCTCACATCTGTCCTAATTGACTTTTTTAGAATTTGACAACCTTGGTGAGTATCAGAGGAAAAAAGATTTGGTTCATATGTTGACACATGAAGTATTATTTTGGGGGGTGAGGTGGTATATTTCTTTAGAGGATTTAGAAGCAATTAAATTAGGAAATGATTTTGTAATACTAATCCATTTTGACTGATGACTATATCTTTTGACACTTAGTGGAAAAATGAAGTTAATCTTATGTCAGCCATGGTATAGGGTATAGTATTCCTTTTATATTGTTCAATAGAGTTCCTTTTTTGGTCTAATTTTATCTTAACTTAGGTCATGTCTAGTATTGCAGACTTTTTCTGAAGGTGTTCAGAGAGTGGTACAGTTCTAATTTTACACACTGTTACACATCTTCAAAAAAAAAAAATCAGTCAAGTATAAAGTGCCCACTATATCCTCAACACTGTGGTTATAATAAACAAAGTACAACTTTTTATACTGAAAAGAATATAGTCTTATGCCAGTTCATAACTGAATTAAATTAGGTATATTTAGTATATTGTAGCTTTAAAGTTTTAAAAAGTACAATTTATTTAATAGAGCAGTTTTAGGTTGATAGCAAAATTGAGCAGAGAATACAGAGCCTTCCCATTAAATTTTTAATAATAACCATGAATGATTACATAGGAAAAATTGTTTTTGTGAGGAGTTCATTGTGTGAGATTTTCATTATATATATTTGAGAACACAAATATTTGTGACTATGAGATTTGTTTTATTTTAAAAAGTATCCTCCATTTCTAGTATGTTTTTAAATTTTCCACTGAGAAGTACAAACTTCCTTTTTTCTTTATCTTAGATATCAACCCAGAGTCACTGGAGGCAATACAGTGTAGTGGTTAAGAGTGAAAATTCTGAAGTTAGACAAGATTTGGGTTGGAATCCTGACACTACCACTTACTAGCTGTGTGATCTTGGAAAGGTCAGTTTCCCCATCTGTAAAATGGGGATAATAATGGTACCCTCCTCATGTGGTTGTTTTCAAGGTTTAATGGGAACCCTGAACATATTCAGTAACAGTACCTGACATATAGTTAAGTGTTCAACAAATAAATCGTCTCCCAAAGTAACAACATAATTTTATTATCATTAAATTGCCTACTAATTCTGTTGTTATAGGGAATCCCTTACTAATAGCTATCTTAGAGAATGTTTTGAACTCCAAAGGCCTGTCTACAATAATTATATTAAAAATTTTATTTTAACTTCATAAAGTTAAGCAGGTTTAGAGATGAAGTTCATGTTTTCTATTCTTAGTTTTAAATGAAAGAACAATGCCTTACTCCCTTGGTTAAATAATGACAAATCTTTCATAAAAGTATTAAATGTTTTGGACTAAATTAATATTTGATTACTAATAATTACTAATATTTGATTACTAATAATTTGACTTAATTGTTGATACCATGATTCCGCTCATATGGTAGGAGGTTCAGGTACTGGATTGAGTCCACAGTGGTTTGCTAGGCTGAGGTTCCCTGGTCATAGAGTTCAGCTTTGTATCCGGCTAGTTTGGTGCTGTTGGTCTTGAGAGTCAAGTGACCGTATGTATGTAGATTGACCAGTGTAAATATGGTAATGCCATTAGTATTTTGTATCTTTTTTCTGTGCATGGTGAATCATTAGTCTTATGTTTATTAGTTTTGTTAAGGCCAGAAAAGTTCGAATATTTTTCTTTCTGCAAGTTCTGAGGAAAAAATTTTAAAAATAAAAAACTTATTTCCATATATTTTTATGCTAAGAAGTTTCTATATTCAAAACTGCTAACAAATTTCTTTTTCAAGAGAGAAAAAGATTAAATTAAAGGAGTTTGTCACTGGTACTCCCGATAATTTTATGGAGCTGCTTCTCATTGTTTTTATTATTTTTTTCTATTTCCACCTAAAGGTGAGGGAGAGAAAGTAAAGGAATGTTGGTGTCTTAGTATACCTTAAAATATATATATATATATGTATATGTGTGTGTATATATATATATATATATAGAGAGAGAGAGAGAGAGAGAGAGAGAAAGATAGTTACATACTAGTGTGTGTGTGTGTATGTGTATGTGTATGTCTATGTATGCGTGCGCGCGTGTGAATTATGAGTCTGCAGCAGAACATCCTTGAGCTGAATCCAGTCCACAGATACACTAGTATATGGTTTGCTTTTAGTGTATTTGGGACTTGTTGTAATTAGTTGTTACCATTTAAACATTGGAAGACTTTAGCATAGTTAGTTCAGTGGTTGAGCATTGACCTATGAACCAGGAGGTCACAGTTCAGTTCCCAATCACCACACATGCCCAGGTTGCAGGCTCAATCCCCAGTGTGGGGTGTGCTGATGTTTCTATCTCTCTCTCCCTCCTAAATCAATAATCTATTTACAAAAAAAAACAAACAAACCAAAAAACAAAAATTGGAAGACTTCACATTTAAGAAGCCTCAATTTCCAGCATCTCTTAAGAAATCAGAGGTTGCTGTTTCTGTTTGAGAGTAGGTTGCTAGAGCCCAGTGGAGGTTGTCTCTTTCAGGTGAGGTCTGAGTTTTCCATTTTGCTGTAGTCTCCACCAGGCCTGCTTTGCCATTTATATTATTTGCCTGGCATCTGGCCAAGATCTTACCCTGGACCTAATAAGGCCTGAAACAAAGGAAAAAGAAATAATGAATTTAAATAATACCTTTTTTCCCCCTTAAAAAAATGAACTTACTGTCTACAAAAGTAAAATAATTCTTAAGTCAAATAATTGTTAAAGTTAATTTTAGTACATGTAGTGTTCATTAACTCTGTCTCTGATAGCATTATAACTATGGGTGAGTCATTATTTCCTAATAAAAATGGAGATGAGAATTGCAAAGAGTAGTTGTGGATAGAGTCGACCCAGATTTTGTACCATATTTTTAGTAGATGCTTAATTTAAGGGATTACAACAATGAGTAAGATGCTCCTTTTCTCAGTGAGCCGCTCTTATTGTTTTGAATCTAGTAGGAAGTTAAATAAACCTATTATTATGATTCAGGATAGATTAAGATAAATATAATGAGTGAAGTATGAGGAATGGGTCATGGCGGTTAAAAGTATAAGACATGATATAAAGAGGATCAGTAAAGTCTGAGGAAAAGTAGGAGGTATGTTTTCCTTGCTGCATAATTTATTATCTGAATATATGAAGTTATTGGTTCCTATTGCCTAATGATTTTATCAGGTTAAAAAAAAAAAGAATTATGAGTTAAATGAGTATAAACTTTTGATCTTAGTGAAGAGTCTGCTCTGAACTCTTATTTACCTGTGGTCTGGAGGGAGGTTGAAGGAGGTGCCTGTAGTTACTAAGAATACAGAGCACAGCCAAAGGCTAGAATTGGTCTGGGTCATTGAAAACCAGACAAAGGCTGACTGACAAAAATAAAAAGGGAAGCTATAAATTAGGAAGAAGAAAGAGAAAACTTAGAAAGGAGCATAAGGGGGTGGAACAGAGAGGAGGGGAGTTGAGGGAGAGAGAGTAGGGAATGGAGTAGGAAGAGGGAGAGTACCATATTTTTCGGACCATAAGACGCTCCGGACCATAAGACGCACCAGTTTTTAGAGAAGGGAAATGAAGAAAAAAAGATTCTGAAACGAATAGTGTCCTAAAATATTTTATGTGCATTAAAACCCAACATCACAGTCATAAACACATGTAATCAACCCTGTAAAGCACATGTGTCAAACACAAGGCCCGCGGGCCAAATCCGTCCCGCCAGGCCTTGCAATGTGGCCCGCACCGCGCTGTCATCACTGCACTCCGCTGCGTTTCCATCACAATGACAGTTTATGACTGTTCAGTAAACCATTCGGCCCGCGATTTAGGCTGGATTTTAGATTTTGGCCCCTTCTCTGATTGAGTTCGACACCACTACTGTAAAGTAAACAGCAGCATTTAGAACCATTTTAGAGCC